ACCGGACCCCGGAAGACCAATTGATGCACCAAATCACGAAGAAACCTTGGGTAATGCCTCCTATGCACATTGCGTTGCATGTTGCACAGGTGATAATACCGTTGGGCACTGGATACGCTGGTGTAAAGTACCTATCGTTGCACTAAGGAACCTGACTGGCGATACTACACCAATGTCACTTTTAGAGGGCTCGAGGAAGAGCACAAAGCATCTTGCCATTGCTACTCGAGTTGTTCATCAATTCCGCCTTTTACTACGAGAAGCTGGAGCAATGAGGCATCAGGTCGCTGCTCCCCCTGTATCCATAGAAAGCTGGATTACTCACCTTACACAAAGGGTACACGCTGACTTGCCTTCTGACCTCAAGATCGTCCACATTCAAACGCCGCATGCTAGCACGGTCTGCTCTTTGGACAGCTCCAACCTGACCTGTCAGGACAAATCTCCCTTGCACATTTCTTGTACGTTAGCTCCCGCACGTATCTGTAGCGTGGTCAAGTCAGTTGACGCTAACCAAATACTTGGGGTTGTCCAACTCGGATCGGAACACATCCAATTGATTCAGCAGCCCTTTCAAGTTGGAATTGGCATTACGCCGAATGCCAAACTCAGTCCTTTTTACTGCCAATGTGCAAATGATCACTCCCAAATCACAGCTACAGTGCCGATAGGTGCAGAAGAAATACTGTGCAGTTGCACAGATGAAGCGAAAGGCTCCTTACTTGTCCAATTTGATGGATCTTGCCATGCAGACCGAGGAGTCGGAGGAGCGGGAGCAGCAGTGCTAGAAGTGCAATCACAAGGCCTAACGCTTATCAGATGGAGGGCGGTAGCACTGCCTAATTGCCCAGACAATATCTTTGCAGAGGCTATGTCGGCCAACATTGGAACGGACCTCCTATGTGAAGAACTTGTGCAACGTAGACACTCTGTCAGTCACGCAAGTCTATTTACAAGGAGATATCCTCCCTATAGTTAAACACCTTGCATTTGCAGGGCGTTTCCGCAGGATAGATCTGCAGCCAATTGTGCAACAAATCCGCAAGAAACAATCAAAATGTTTGACTTTGGTATTTGGGTGTATCGTCCGCGAGAGGCAAATATCATTGCAGACCACCTAGCTGGCGAAGCCAGCAAAGCTGCCTATGACCTCCCTCATAACCAAACCCAACCTATTGAAATTGATACCCCTGCCCCATACAATGTTGCAATGCGGGCTGGCGCTATTGTACTTGAAGAACGAGCTGCAGGTGACACCATACTGGTGTTACCTGAAGTCCCAAGTGCAACTCCCCAACAGGTCAAACACTTCCTTATGCAGACAGACCATCAGAAGTACCTACGAGACATTGAATCCTACTTGGTAGGAACAGCCAATCTCACCCAACCACGCTTTGTAGAATACACAGCCACGGCAATTGACAAGTTAGGCCGGTTGTACGGTCGAGGCCCCTGTGCCCAGAGACTGCCACGAAAAATCCGACTGTTACTCTTCGGTGCTACCCATCAAGAGATTGACATGACTGGATCATTCTATGAAATTATGAGACGAATTGGGAGAGACCCACATCTCCCGCACATCGGGGTACTCAGAGGAATGCTCACTGACCTGTTAGGGCTGGTACCACAAGGACAGCGTCAGTCTGCTGTTAAAACGCATCCACTTATAGTCATGAATGCTGGGGCGAACGAAGCTTGTTCCAGGATAGAAAGAGAATTTGGTATCTCCTGCCCAGCCGCACTTCTCCACCTCAGCTTCAAAATTGAATCCGCCACTAAAGCGGTAGTAGACAGGTACCTACCCCAACTACGCCCACAATACAGCATTAGGGATAGGGGAGCGACTTTCCGCACATTGGACTGGTACGAAGAACATATTATGCTTACCTTCTACAAAGAGCTAACCAGAAGATACCACCTACGGTCAGTTATCTGGCTTCATGATGGACTCTGGATCCCCACAGAAGTGCCAGTCGATATAATACTAACCGCAGAGCAATCCATGCTTCACCTACTGCAGCTAGAGCGTACCGCAGTATTCAGGATACAAGACCTTGCTGTGGAAGCCAATGAAATCACTGCTGCACTGGAAGGCAAGCACTATGACCCGCGCGAACGACCTACGCTGCCAAATCAGCCAACAAGAGGTAATTCAGTAGTGCAACAAACAGGAAGGAAAATAAGATGGAACACACAAGCGCAAACTGCAGGGTATCAAACATTTGTTGAGCGCACAGCAAAACGCAGACGGAGAACATAAAAAGTAAATGTGCTTATGATGCAGACGGTCATGACTTCACAATATACCTCTAATTTACTGTCTCCCAGGGCACCCCAATGTCTGTGGACATACCCGCTGCAAACAAGAGATACTGTGGTCGCTACTCTTTTCTGAGTTCAATGCTTAAAAGTGTACGCAATTCCTGTCTAATGCCTGCTACCCGCCGTGCCTCTTTTGATTGTGATTACTGTGTCCCGGTTAGTTGTGTTTTTCTGATAGGGGAGCCCCTGTTGGTTTTATTGTTGCGCGTCTTTTCCCACTCCCCTACGCTGTGAGGTTTTGTTTGTTTGTTCCTTTCTAGCCGGTACTGACTAGGTGTCCAGGTTATGCAAATCTTCTTAGCGTGCCTACTATTACTCCCCTACTAGGCGGCTTTTCAATGTATGGGGGTAGATTGTATGGTTTATCTGTCACAGTTCATAGCGTTTGGTTTTTCTGGCCGCAGACTGGTCAGGATTGCCAATCGCACTATGACAATCCCTCAATGTTACCAAGGCACGAATTTAGTTGAGCCTTAAACCTTTTCCATGGCACAAACATTGACATACTCGGTAGCCATTTTTGAGTCTCAACTTCGCCAGGTTGTAGCTTAAGCGCGCGAATGCCAATGACCGTGAAACTAGTAGACAGGCACAGCCTCTCCAGCTCCCAACTGATTAGAGCAATGCCCAGTGTTGTAGAGGAGAAAGGAAACATACGACCCTGCAATTCGCAGTACTTGCAAGTCAAGCAAATTCATCGAGGGCTCACCGAAACAATCTCAGAGATGAAATCAATTGACTCGACTTCAACCCTGGTCATTGACCAGCTCAAAGTAGCGCAGGCTGCTGTCGAGAAAGCTTGCACTCTATTGACAGACTCCAGCCAAAGACAGCTCGCACCAGACAAGAGGAGCAAACACGGTCAGCAGCCCACAATGCTAGAGCCTGCAGAACTCTTTCAGCAATGGCAGGCAAAGCGAGGAGGGGAGGCCAACCACAGAGGACCTGATGAAGTACCTGCATAGCACGAAGAGTTATGATATTAACTGCAAAAGGACTTTCCATTTGATGAGCAACCGGTCACTCAACTGCCCACTCAATCACGCTGAGCCTGAAAAAAGGAGAAGACAGGCAGCCAGCACAACAGCACTGGTGACCTCCATAGCTATGCGTAAGAAGACCTTCGTACCTCTGGGGTTGAAATTCCTACATGGGATGCCAGAGAACTCGTTTACGTCCTTATTTACCTCTGCAAGTAATAGTTATCTTTAGTGTTAGTGTGCTACGAGAGTGTTCTGAGGTGATCTTTTCGTACCTGCATCCTGGCTCCAAGGCTATAGTCCACAGGAACCAAAATGAGGCGACCTCATTTGCGTGTCTATGACGAAGTTGTGCCGTGTATACGAGTCTGCCGAATATATCCCTTCACGCATAGTGATCGTTTAATGTACTTGTTCATTGTGTTTTGCAAGGAACTTCTTTGTGTTTCTATTCCATTTTGGCTCAAGGACTTTCATTTGTGCGTATACATTTTTCGTTTTTGTCTGCTCAGCCAACAGTTTTCTTTTGGACATCTGTAGCAGGCATTAACATTGATCAGTTGCGTTTTTCCGGTCATGCAGATATTTTCAGAGTTTCGGTTTTGTCGTTTTAGAGTCACAGACACCGGGCGGTCCCGGGCGGCATGGACGGAGCGACGGTCTCGGTGTTATCACTAGAACAGTTGATTACTGCACTTCTCCTCATTGTCAACGAGTTGTGCCATCGTTTTCGTATCCCTTTATCTTCAGCATCATCTGTACCATTACAAACCACACCTGATTTGGAAAATCCTTCAGGGTCACCCATCCCCGAACGTGGATCGTGTGGTGCAAAGTGTCGCTGGTGTGATTTACCCTGTGGACGTGCAAAGCCGGGTCATACGGGGCATAGTTGCTATACACATCGGCATTGGCGTGATGGATAATTCCATGGATGGTTGGTCACTGGTACAGAATGTTGAGGGTTCGTGGGACACGAGTTCAGTGATTTCACCGCCGTTGCAATCCAGGCCGAAGTCTGCTCCATTGCAGCGGGCACCCCTACAGCAAAGTCCTCGCCTGGTGTCTCCATTCCAAGTGTCTGCATTGCATCCGGTGGTCACGAGCACTCTGGGGTGTTCGGGACAGTCTTCAGCTCAGCGACATCCAGGTATCCTGAGGGTTTCAGATTTAAACCAGGGGGTTAATGTTCCTCCCCCCCATCCATTTCCTGTTGATTCTATTCGCATTGTACCTGGGGTTACTCCTTTGAAAATTCCCCCAGAAAATTTACCTGTGATTCGGAGCTGGACGACGTTGCAGCAGAGAGTTGCACTACCTCAGCCTCAAGGATGTTTGGGTTATTCCGAGTCAGTACCAGTTGATTTTGTGCCTAATCGGCCTTCTCCAACGTTACTGCATCCTCCCAGACGTCAATCAGGGGCTATTAGCAGAGTTCGTTTTTCTAGTGCTTCACCGGTGCTCTGTCAGATGTGGTTTGATTTGTTATCACAGCTGGGCCCACTATCCAGAATTTGGCAAGAGACGAGTATGTCACAGCATCAACGTATGCATTTGAACCGAATTTTGGACAATGTGGCACCGGGCACGGCTATGAAGTATATTTCCAGTTGCAAGTCCTTTTTCAAGACCTGCAAAGCGTTACAAGTGGATCTGATATCCCTTACTGAGGTTCAATTGGCAGACATTTTAATCACAATGTCACTGTCGAGATCTACATCTCATGGCAGTAGTTCTTGCAGTTCAGTCATCAAAGCACTTCGATGGCTATTGAAATCAGCAGAGGTTGGATGTTTACAGGTGGTGCATTCAGTTCTTATTGGAACCTTTCTGAACCAGAAGGTGCCCAAGGATAGGAAACAAGCACCTCCTCTGCCTCTGTGGGCATTGGTGCAGTGGGAGCGTCGTGTGCTCATGTCCAACTGCACGGTATTAGAAATCATTCTACTGGGTACATTTTTATTGATGGCCTGGGGATCCCTTCGTTTTTCCGATGCGCAAAGGTTAGACCTCCAAAAGATCATCTATCACGATGGTACCATGCGAGGGGTGATATGGCGCTCCAAGACAGCAGTCAGCGGCATGCCCCTAGCAGTGGCGGCGGAGGGTTTCCTCAGCAAAGGCTCCCACAACTGGCTGTGGAAGTTCTTGACGGTTTTGGATACGGTATTGGCCAAATCAGGCCTCTCCGATGTTGATTTTCTTCTTCCACTGATGGATGAGGATGGACCAGTTTATCCATTGCAACCGATGGATTATGCTACAGCGTTATTTTACCTACGGAAATTTTTGGGTTGCCCCTGGAGTCAACGACCAGACCCCTTGCAGCATTTGAAGTTGAACTTCACTTTGCACTCCCTCAAAGCGACATTATTGTCGTGGGGACCCCAGCTGCATGAGAAAGTTACCCCTGAACAGCGTTTGTCTCAGGGACACCATTCGGATCCCAATAGCAGTTTGGACACATACTCACGTGACGTGGTGTGGACGTCCTTGACGTATCAGCGCAAGATGATACAAGAGGTTCAGAGTGGATGGCGTCCAGCCATTGCCCAGCATCGGGGTAGTCAGGCTCCTATGGTCGAACCCAAGGTTGTTTTGGAGAAATTTGTCAAATCTCTCCCACAGTTTGATTTTCAGTGGTTTCAATTCAATGCGTCCTCTGAGACACAAGCTCCAGATTTTTGGGAGTCATCGACCAGCAGTTCTGAGAGTTCATCGGATTCATCGTCGGATGACGAGGTTATGGAGCCTCGACCCAAGACTTCCAAGGTGGACGTGGTACCTTTGGATGTCGATGAAGTCCTGGTGGGACGATATCGATCAGTTGTACATGCACTAGTGCGCGCCGGCGATGATGAAGATTGGCGTCCTCGGTGGCAAGGACAGCCTCTCAAACCTGCCTGTGGTAGGCAAATGCGTGGTGTGGAAGCCGAGATCTTGGATAGACTCGACTCGACTATGCCGTTCTGCCAGCATGCAGCATGCAGGAAGGTTTGGCACAATTGTCAGCTCCTGCAAGGATCTGGATAGGTCCCATTCCAAGCGGTATGAAAAATTTTGCGCTTGGAGTTTTTGCCAACGGGTCGGTGACCTGTTGGGTGCAGTCGGTTTTCCCTGGTAGGGTTAACCGAGTAGGTCCATATAGGGTACTTTTTGCGTTATTTTCCCCTCTTTTGACTAGGGGAGGGGTTCAGATTTTTTGTACAATAGGGGATGGTATCCCCTAACATGTCAACGGTGTTGGCATCACATTTCAACCGGTGGTTGAAGGGTTACTCACGGTGTGAGTTGAAATGACAGGTTGTCATGTTATATTCAACCGGTGGTTGACTATGGACTCACGGTGTGAGTACCACAATGACCGGTGGTCATTCAGTTTCTCAACCGGTGGTTGAGGTTATTCGCTCACGGTGTGAGTCTTACATTGACCGGTGGTCAATCCATCATTTTTTTCAACCGGTGGTTGAAGCAGCACTCACGGTGTGAGTGACGTGTTATATCGTCATGGTTGCCGTCGGTGATGGCTCGAGTGAACCCGGTGGGTCAACAATCAGTTGTGCAACAACATGCACTTATGTTAGGGGTTCCACTATGGAGTATCCACCCCTTTCATGGTTAGTCAAACGTCCAATGGCGCTGTCAAGGTTTTCTTCTGCAAGTTTTTGCTTTTCCCCTCAACATAAGGGATACTGTTTGTGGTTCGTGGCTCCTAAGCTATTTTCTCCTTTGTCTACGTGGTGGTGCCATGGCGTCTGACAATTTGGAAGATGTTTTGATACAGAGTGGGGTGGACTCGGCCCTCACGAGCTCACTCATGATGGAGGGGTGGTCCTGTCAATCGTTTCGCATGGCAGCAGCTGACATTCATGGATTTGAAGATGTTCTCCAGGAATGGTCGTCTTCTACTCCTTTGTCGGCATTCCAAAAGGCGTGCCTCCATACGGCATTTCAGTCTCTCCAACCTCAACAAGAACCTAGTGCATCGGCTGTGTCAACCCCAACATTGAGCACTACCACGCCAGCCGGGTCTTGGGCAGAAGCCTTTCCTCCCAAATTGGAGAATGCCGTGTTGCAGGCGATGAAACAAAAATTCATGGCCAACTATCCATCGGAGTTGATCCATGCAGACCTTTTTCCGTCGACCAGATTAGTGAGCCTGGTTCATGACCAGCTCTCCAAGAAGGTTTGGAAATGGGTGCCATGGAAGTATCGCATCTCGCTCACCAGGTCAGAGGAGATTTCTAGCAATCGAGCTCAGAAGATGCCAAAAATTGACCACTTGGGGTTACACTCCTTATTATTTGATGATCCTCCCTCAATCGACGTGTCCAACAACGCCATGGGGGTGAACTCGATTCGCAATATGCTCGAAGTTCATGATCGGGCCATTGCCTTGTGCCAAGGCGCTCACCTCGCCAATCTCAAGGCCTATACCCACAAATTCATCGGGTTTTTGACCGCCAAGTATGATGGAGATTTACGTAACCCCAGTGTATTGGAGGCTCAACATGCGGACCAAAAAATTTGGACAGTCATTGCCGAGCTCATGGAACGAGGATGGAACATGGATGACTGCTTGCATGAAATGACGAATTTACGTCATGACCTACCAAGTCTCCTTCAACCACGACCTCGCGTGTTCAAGCCACTCCCATCACCATCTTCTCAGACAGCTTCTCCTCGGGGTGATGGACCGAAAGGCAAAGGCCAAGGGAAGTCAAAGGGCAAGCAGAATTCCGGGAAATCCAAGGGCAAGGTCCAATGGCTCACGGAGATTCAACGGGATGGTGGTTTCAAGCAACTCTGCATGCGATATCAGGTGGGCAAGTGTCAGACTCCCAACTGTGGCTTTCAGCATTTGTGTGCGTACCCAGTTGATGGAAAAGCCTGTGGCAAAAATCATGGGGCGATGTCCCATTTTGCCACCCCGCACTGACTCCCCGAAGGGGATTGTGACCCAGGTTTCGCCATGCATGATTCATTCAATGAGGTTGACTCCGTAGAGACTCTCCCAGTGCATGACGTGGACCCAGTTCAAGACTTCGCTCCACCTAGTGATAGTTTTACCCGGGGCCGTTTGTCCCAACCCGAGCAGGCGAATGCGGAAACAGATATCACTGCCACCGTCCCCGTCACAGCGGAATCCTTGGTTTCCTCTACGTCAATTCCACCAACCATTTCAACTTCAATTTTAAAAACAGTTCCCTCAGGTAAATTTTTTCTCGATGTTTGTTCAGGTGTTACACGTCCGTTATCGACAGCTGTATTGGAGCATGGCCACTCAGTTCTTTCTTTGATGTTTTATTGGATTCTTCTATGGATATTTTATCAGATGCGGCCTATGAGGATCTGTTGCGTGTCGCATCCAGTGGTCAGGTTGGTTATGGAGCGGCCAGCCCTTCCTGCTGTGAATACAGCAGACTCAAACTTCGAGATGATGACGGTCCCAAGGCTCTACGATCACCAGAGCACTTGTCCGGTCTGCCCAATCTCACACCCTGGGAACTGCAACGTGTCCAAGAGAGCTTTATGATGCTCTCTCGCTGCGTTGAGGTCCTCACCCTGGTTTTTCAAGCAGGCGGGCACGTCCACCTTGAACAACCCTTGAACGCCATGTCATGGTTAGAGAAGGTAGTACGCCAATTTCTGCAATTGATTGGGGCTTCCTGTATCAACGTGGCAGCTTGCGCCTATGAGATGGATATTTACAAAGCCTGGATGTTTGCCTCGAGTTTTACAGGTCTTCGACCATTAGGCTGCATTTGTCAACATCCCCCTAATTCTCATGTTCGTCTTCAAGGTCTCCGAGACGATTCTGGTGCTTTTGCCAGTAGGGCGACGGCACAATACCCACAGAAACTGGCACAATTGTTTGCCAACCTTGTGGACCCATTACTGGACACATCAGGGTTGGACCTCCAATGGTCATATTTGGATGCCCTCATGCCCACCAAGCAACTGTCGGAGTATCCATTTTCGCAAATCGATGGGGGTGGAGCTTTTTCCTACCCGGACTGGAGTCAGGATAATCGTCAAGAACACGACTGGTTCAAGACTCTGCGTACTTCGTGGATGAACAGGATCATCTCTGAGCGGTTGGATAAGATCCTACTTGCGCATGTGGCTTCGGGCAACCCGTCACCGCCTTTTTCGGTGGAAATCCTGACCCCATTCAAGGCTGATCTGGAGCAATTCTTGGAGGCACATGGACATACACCAGATTGGTCAGTTCGACAACATCAACCAATACATCTTCATATTTTACATTCTTTCCAAAAGATTATGCATGACGTCGATTTTACATTATTGCCCAGTCTATTAGAAGGTGTTCGAACTGGTTTTTCCACAGCGATTCCTCCGTCGGGTATTTTTCCACCCAAAGAACGTACGGACATAGAACCCGATCCATTGTCAGCTCACCTTTCCAACTGGCAGAGCGCTGAAGAAGATCTACCACTCACCCGAGAACTGGTTCAGGAAGAAATTGACAAGGGTTGGGTGTTTCCGTATAAAGGTTCTTTGGAAGAAGCACAACAAGAATATCCGGCCGGAGTTGCTATTGGAAAATTGGGCGTGGCTCGCTCGGATAGTCGAGCCCCCCGATTAGTTGTAGACTCCAGCGTATGCGGCCTCAACGGTCGGTGTATCATACCTGAGAGGTCCACCCTCCCGACTGCCAAGGAGGTGTTACGTAGCTACCCTCTACGTCAGTGTCAGAGGAATCTAATGGGCTTTTCTTTAGACGTTAAGGCTGCTCATAAAAGAATAGTTCTTCATCCGGACGAATGCGGATTGGTGGGCTTTTCGCTAGAGGGACAGCTTTTCTTCTATAGAGTTACCCCATTTGGTGCAGTTTTCTCTGCCTTTTGGTGGGCGAGATTGGGTGGCCTCCTTCTCCGTATCTTTCACCACTTAATCTGGTTGAGTCACGCTGGATTTCTATATGTGGATGACTTCTTATTCTTTATGGAAACCAACATGATGCCGCTGTCAGCCACATTGTTGTGTATTTTCTGCCAGCTTTTGGAAATTCCTATCAGCTGGAAGAAGACGGCCATGCACTCTTCCATTGACTATATTGGCTGGAAATTCAATTTCAATGCAGGTATCGTGACAATCCCCATTGAAAAGATCCTCAAACTCCGAGGATACATCGAACATCTTATTTCCCAGCCACGAACTACTCGTAAGTCTTTGGGAGAAACTTATTGGCCTGGCAATGTGGATTACTCAATTATTTCCACTTATGCGGATCTGGATCCACTATTGGTACCACGACCTCTACACCATCCCGGCGACACATTTCAGTATTGATGCTGGTACATGGCCTCGCATTCATCAATATTTAACACCTACTTTGACTTTTCATACAGCACCTTTGGGCTCAGCTATACCTATTTCAGGTAAGCTTATTGCTGTTCGACATCAAGCGGTATCCTCATTGGCGGATCTGACATCGTTACATATCAAAACAGATAACAGGATTTGGCTACGGATTATCAATCCGAATTCCTCCAAACGCAAGCTTCGTCCTGATTCTCTTCGCATTTTGAAGTTATTTGAACATTGGCTGATGGGTGTTTCTCCATCTCGACCAATGAGAGCGAAGCCATATTGGAATGGCGTTGCGGCAGCCGATGCATGTGCATCGGGTTCCTATTGTCAAATTGGAGGTTTCATCCGTCATCCTTCAGGAGTCCAATTTTGGTTTTCTGAGAAATTTTCCCATGCTGATTTTGACATTTTGTCAATTCATTTGGACCCAAATATGCAACGAAGCATTGCTTCTTTTGAAACTTTAGCCCAAATTGCTTTAGTTTGGCTGGTGGCCACATCTTTTCCCGGTTTTCGTATTCCTATTTGTGTGAAATCCCTGAGCGACAATACGGGAGCAGAGAGCGTGAGCAACAAATTATTCACTACGACTCATCCTCTATGTCTCTTTGTCGAGATCCTCACGTGCCTGGCTTCGACAACGGGTATTGAATTGGATGTGAGCCATATTCCTGGCGCGGACAATGTCATAGCGGATGATCTGAGCAGATGGGATTTTTCCACTCCCATCCCACATGATTTTCAACCAAGTGAAAGGATTCATCTTTCACTCAATCAACTATTTCGTTGTTCACCTCACCCAACATTGCATCCTCCTGATTCAAAACTCCTTTGGAAACTCCCACATCCTCTTGCGATGTGATCTGCTGGAATGGTTCTCACTTCTGGTTTGGGCGTGCTTGGGCGATAACCATTATACCAGATAGTTGTTGTTTGGGTTGTTGATGCCATCTGGTCGAATGGTTTCGATTGAAGTGTGGTCGAATCCAAACTGGATCCAACAGTGGGACAAACCATCCAGCAGATGAAAAGGGAGTGCGTTCTGAGATCGGAAGCGAGACATGGTCAAGCGGGAGGATTGAAGTTTCAGTTGTTTTTTGTGTTTTGGTTTGTTTGCGTTTTCTTTGCGGTTTCTAGATCTTGTCTCAAACAAATGAAAGTCCTTGAAGAACGTTTAATGTACTTGTTCATTGTGTTTTGCAAGGAACTTCTTTGTGTTTCTATTCCATTTTGGCTCAAGGACTTTCATTTGTGCGTATACATTTTTCGTTTCCCTCCCTCCCTCACCTTGTTCTCAATTCTTTATCAATATTGCATCAAGGGTTCGATCTCGCTGTTTCACCCCATTTCTCTTATCGCTGCTCCGAAGTTTGTTTCATCTATGAAGCCTTTGTGCTCCTGGTTCTTTACAGTGCGTTGCACTTCAAAGCCGAGTGACGTGATGTCACGTTCAGTATTGTGACTGCATCTATGACAATGCACAATCGTGCATCGGTGATGTCATCTCACCCGAATGGGTTGTTGATGCCATCTGGTCGAATGGTTTCGATTGAAGTGTGGTCGAATCCAAACTGGATCCAACAGTGGGACAAACCATCCAGCAGATGAAAAGGGAGTGCGTTCTGAGATCGGAAGCGAGACATGGTCAAGCGGGAGGATTGAAGTTTCAGTTGTTTTTTGTGTTTTGGTTTGTTTGCGTTTTCTTTGCGGTTTCTAGATCTTGTCTCAAACAAATGAAAGTCCTTGAAGAACGTCGGTATTCTTTGCAGGCCGCTTGTGACATTGGCCGATCTTCTCCTTCTTGTGGTGACCTTTCACGTTCTCATCTGCGGGAGCTCCCAAAGGCAACTCCAGCACCGCAGCTGCCTTCTTGTCAAACACAAACTCACAATTTTCTGACCAAAGATCCGGAGAAAGCCACACTTCGCCAAAACAAATTTTGATGACCTTGCTTGTGTAGCGTTCTCGGTCCATGGCATCCATCTGGTTAAGGATCTTCAGAAGCAGGTCCCACACCATAAGTCTCGGCTGGTAGTCCAAGGTCATCAGGTAATCTCCTTGAAGGGGGTTGAAAAGTTGTAGGAAGTTACCCTCTCTTTCGATGTTGAACACCAGAGTGCCAGAGAAGCAGGCGGCCAGGACAATGCAAACCCGGGGATGCGACTCGTTCTTGAAGCAGCCCACGACCCTTTCGTCCGCCCACAACCCATGCTTCTCCTGGAGCTTCTTGAAGGGGGTGTAGGAACCGCGATGGCTATTGACACACAGAAACAGTGTCTCGCCACCCAGTCGAAGTCTTTGAGTCTGCTTCGTCGGCAACGTCATCAGGTCGTTGCGCTCCATCTGTTGCTCAAGGTCATGCCAAAACCTGTCGCGACGATCCGGGTCTTCACTCTGAGCTGCCAAGTCAAAGCGGCTCATTTCCACCCATCCAAATTGGAAACTAGAAAAAGCCATGGGCTGCCACAAATTTAGACTCGTTTCCGTTTGATCTTTCAAAAAGGACTACACGCGACATAGAGACAGCGAAACTGCCTTTCGACAATCAAGCGCTCTGAGTTTGAAAAACGAAAGTCTCTTAGGCAGTGTGAGGGTTCAGGCAGCGGACTCGAAGTCCGCTGGCAGCGGACAATATAGCTGACCTTAACCATGGCAAACATACCTTCATAGTTAGCCATGGTTAAGGTCAGCTATATTGTTTTTGGGACATCTTATTGTTGGAGCCACTGGTCCATGGAGTATGAAGATATCTGAATGTATCTAAATGTATCTAAATGTATCTTTCAAAACCGGGGGGGAAAGATACAAAAAGATACATTTAGATACATGTATCTTTCAAATTTTTTCAAAAGATACCAAAAGATACCAAAGATACATGTATCTAAATGTATCTTTTTGTATCTTTCACCCCGGTTTCGAAAGATACATTTAGATACATTTAGATACATTTAGATACATGTAGATACGTTTAGATTTATTTAGATACATTTAGATACATGTAGATACATTTAGATATATTTAGATACATGCACACACATGTAGATACAGTTCAACAGAAAATCCATGCGTGCATATTGTCTTCACTGAGCTCTGGGTGTTCCAATCTTTCTGCAACGAGAGAACTTCTTTCTGCAACGCATTTTCACCCAGAGATTCAACAAGTCACCTCAAATCTTTGTGGCGGTAACATGAATGGCCAGTATGGCCCACCTTATGTCTTGTGCATTGGGCGTCACACCACCGACAGCGAAACTCACATTGAGGAGGAGGGTCTCGTAGCCTTCGAGGAGCAGCAGCTGGAGCTTGAACTGGTGGATTTGGAGCCGCTGACGAAGATCTGGTCACGTCGAAGCGCTCTGCAATCAGTGCTGCCACAGTCTGAAGCAAGAGGACCAACTCAGTAGTTGACAAAGTCTCCAGTTGCTGGCGCTGAAACATCGAAGCAATGAGATGAAGACCTTGTAGATCAAAAACAGATCACTGCCAGCAACGTTCAAAACCTCGGCGCTACCATCAACCTCGTATAACCTTGATCCAAAACCGACGAAGTGGTGCTTATCTGATTCCATGTACTCATGTCTGTTTTGTTTTTTTCTGCATCCCAAGTTGTGAAACCATTCAGCCGTACCAATATTACTCCGACTTATTGTTATCAAATCACCGAACAACATATATCAATGAGCGGCCCATGGGGCCGCTTGCACGTTGAGGCGGCGCACGCCGCCGATGTTGCAAAGGCAGCTGCTTTAGACACACAAGAAAACCAACAGGTAAGAAACGTTGTCATTGATTCTTGAACCTAATAGGGTTCAGAAACATCTAGAATGGTCACTTTTTTCAAATATCTATACCCAATCACGTATACCGATGGTTGTTGTGAGTATGTACCTTGCCTTGAAGCCGTTCCCAGTGATGCCAGCATATCCAAGCTGGTCAGCCATCATTGTTCGGTAATATATTAGCCAGGTGAATGAATATGATATCATCATGGTAGATTAGCATTTTTCTTTGTATCCCTTGCATCTTGCTAACAATACGGAACCAGCAGCCTACCAACAACATCTTTCTTCCGAACCATCGAAAGTTTTCACACAGTAGGAGACTCTGTGCCTTTTTTTCCCACCAGCTCGCCGCAGATCTCATCGAGGGTTCTGCCAATTGTACCACCCTTTCCATTGGCCGGCTCTCTTCCTAACGCGTCCTAACACAAGACGTTCCCAGTGGCGGTTGCTTTTGAAATACCCTTCGTGCTCTGGATTCATCCACTCGTCCCGGGATCGTCGTGAAGATCTCGGCCTAGACGTAGACGATGATGCCACCGCAGAGGTTGACGACGATGCTGGCAGAGATCCGGTCGCCGATGTCGGCATGGAAGTGCTTGGGTCTGCTGCTTCCGTCACAGTGGGAAGAAGTGGGGCCCCAGAGACTGCCTCTTCCGGTTCAACCTCCACCTCTACAATCTCGAATTCGTCTTCATTTTCATCTGGACCTCCTTGAGCTGCCTGAGTCTCCTCCATGTCCAAACCAGCTTCTCTGGCCTCCAATTCCTCAAGGATGTCTCTCATGATCTCCGGGTCCTCGATGCTATCAAGCCACCCAGTTTCATCATCTTGCTGGGCTTGGATTTGTTCAGGGCCTGCTTCATCCAAATCCATCAACTCCGATTTTAAACGACGAAGGAGCCGTGGATCTGACATCTCTGGCTCCAACTCATTCTCATCCGGCTCTTGCGGCTGTGGTGTGCGCTCCGCGCTGGCATCGGCGTACTGGATGGTCTTCTCGCTGTCAACTGGATCAACCTTCAAAGGAAGCAACCATCAACATCTGTAACATGCACATAACGGTGAACACCAAACAAGTTCTAAAACCCCATAACCGTGCAACCAGCATGTACCCAGTCCCGTCTCCAGCAATGGCACGATGGTCGGCGTTTCGCTGCGCGAGGTCGGACTGCTTTCTGTGGAAAAAATTGTCGGCGA